ATTTTTCTCGGTGAGGACTCGAAAGAGCTTGTCGAACTGTTTTCGGTTCAGATACCTTACTGTCGTTGTACTGTACTACGACTGCGAATCCATGTATCTGTAAGCCAGTTTCTGTAAAACGCGGACGTTCTCCATTTGCACCTGCGAAATTTTCTTCTGGTCCTTCTTCCCCCCCCATTTCGTCAGGTGTAACATGGACTGCTTCGTCGGAGACGGCGGGCATCGGCTGCTGTTGGCGATCGCGTTCGTAACTGAGATGGACTTCGGGAACGTCATCCGGGTCAGCATCTGTGAGGGGAATAAATTCCGGGATGCCGGTCGATGTGACAAGTTCGGGTATATCTGTTGCGGCAGCTTCGGAGGCTTCGGAAACTGCTTCGTCCTGTACATCAGCTTCGGCTTCGTTAGTTGCAAATGCACGCGAGCCTTCGAACAGCCTGGCGGGGTTGGCAGCTGCTGCCTGGTGGGCACAAAAAACTGGCAAGGTGAGTCGCTCATAGAAAAGACAATCACGTGAAGGGACGATTTGGTTTGAGCGAAGATCCAAAATCTTCCAGGCGTGATACTGTTTTTCGATGCCGAAGTGTACCCCCCATTCTGCCCGTTCTGAAAATTTGCCGAGTGCTGCTGTTGGAGGTCGAAACTGTACGACACACCCAAAAACTCGTAAAAGTTTTGTACTTCCCACTGTATGTGTCCATTGTAGGTGTGGTGAAGAAAACTCAGGAAGTGACGTGGAAGAAAGCAGGTTGTGTAACAGCACGGCGTGGTCCATCGCATACGGCCAAAAACGAGGAGGAAGGGCTGCCTGCATCAGCATTGCACGCATCGTCCCCTGCAGAGTCCGATTCATCCTTTCTTCTACCCCCATCTGTTGGTGTTCATGCGGCAGTGACTGCTTCCGTTTGATGCTGAGGGTTTGGAGGTAGTCTGTGAAGGCGTTGCTTGTGTACTCCCCTGCGCCATCACTCTGGAATTCTTGCAGTTTCACGCCAGATTCTCTTTCAGCGATAGCGAGCCACGCGACGAAGACTGAATGGGCGAGATAACGAGCAGGAAGGTTTGCTGTCCAAACGTAGCGAGTAGATGCTTCGATGAAGGTAATCGCATATTGCTCTTCTTTATGTCGTGCTTCAGGTAAGGTAAGAATATCGCTGTAGACTTTCTGCATCAGTTTGTAACGTATGGAGCCAGGAAAATGACTTGGAAACGGGTCGTGGGTAAGATTGGCGACCGGACACGTGGTGCAAACCGTCGGGCGAGACTGCGGCTTCATCTCCATGCCGTCAGGTAAAAGTAGATTGTTTTTATCAAAAACTGCTTCTCGGATTGAATGATTTAAAATCCCTTGTGACGGATGTCCTAACCGCTGATGCCAAATTTCTTCTGTGGCTTTGGGTCCTGATAATCGCAAATAAAAACGGCGTTAGTATAAAACGAAGAAATGATAAAAGGAGAAAGCGCTGGTGACACGTCAATCTCCCCTTCAACGAAATGGGTAAGAGGTAACTTGACATTGGATGTTTCTGCTGCAGTTGTAATTGCAACATCTGATATTGCTTCTGTTGATGTGGTGGCAGGCGGTCCTGCGACAGCTACTGTGGGACTCAGCTGCGTCGGGTTCATCAGCTGCAAGTCCACTGATTTCTCCCCAAAGTGGAGCTGGAGTCCCTTGGAAAGCTGCACGTGTATTATAGAACGTGCGCCAAGCGTTGGCGCTTTCATCGACGGTGTTGAACTCCCAAGTATCCAGAGCGGTAAGAACGGCAGCTGCAGTTCGAGAAGCTGTTGGTACAGTAGTTGCCCGAAAATCAATATCCACGTGTTGATAATCTGTTTCTTCTAGGTGATCCCAGGGACCAAGTGCAAGGACGCGCTCAGAATCAGTAGAGGTGCCCTGTGCCGTGAAATGAAGAACTGATACTCCATGTTGAGTAGCAGTACGACCGAGGTAAGTATTGGTTAAGCTGTGCCAAATCCTGATCCATTGTATCACAGTTCCCTTGTGTGCGAATCTTGTGTGCCAGGAGTTGAGCTGTGGAGAGAAGATTGAAACCAAGGCCGGCGACGATAAGAACGTTGGTAACGTGTAAGGAATATCCCATGTCGACTGATTCGAGCATTACGCTCCTAACAGATCGTGCCATAATAGTTTGTCCGTTTGCGACTGTGACAAGTATCGGACGACGAAGTGGACGCTGGTTGGTGATGAAGCTTGTTTCAGCGAAGCACATATGCTAACTGCAACAGCTGTCGAGATACCAAGTATTGGGTCCTGAGATGACTCGAGCAAGGTTAGCGTAAACTTGCGGTAAGGGAATGCCTTCAGCACTTGTGTTTTCTTCAAGTCGATTCTCGAAATCAGTTTCTGAAATATCAACTGTTGTAACACATCCAAAAACCCCTTTTCCTGATGTTGCAGATGGAAAATCTGTAGGACGATGCTCTGACGGAGGTGGATTCTGCGGTGGTTTTTGCATCTGCTGCGTCTGAGACGTCAACTGCTGCGTTGGCTGATGTGGCTTCGGCAACTGCTGCGAACGATGATATGGCTGTGAAGTACTGCGTTGATTTTGATGGCAGCTGCGACAAGTTTGGTAAGTGTGTCCTGGTTTCTTGCAGAAATGACAGAAGGGATATTTCGGGGGAAGTCGTTGCGGTGGTTCTGGATTTGAGTAAAAACTTAAATGTATCCCCTTCTTCTGATTGTGTTGTGACTGCAGGTCAAGATCTTGCTGCTTTGCTTGAAGATACGAAGAAATCTCGGCTTCGGAGAGGTTCAGATTCATGCGCAGGAAGGTGCGCGTCTGTCACCACTCGGGACCAAGTCCAGCAAGAAGGACCATGAGATACATCTCACGAGGGAAGTATCCCCTACTCTTCTCCACTTGATCTCGTAGTGTACGGACGTGATTGACGTAATCCATGACATTCTCGTTTGTCATCATCTGCACATTTGTTAGCTGCGAAAGAATCTTACTCACTGTTATTGTACCTTTGCCATGTATACCCCCTTCAAGTGGTTCCATGCAGTTTCAGCGGATGTAAAGCTTGAATGAAAAGATCGGACGCCGAGCTGCTCCTTTGGTGACAAGTTTCGAACGAGAACCGTATACGCCCCAAGAGACGCGTGTAAAAAACTCTGCTGCTCCAGTTGTGTTCCCGTAACAGGATACGTAAATTCGCCGGTGAAGAACGGCCATAGTCTAGTGGACTGCGCCAGAAGCTCAAACTCAAAGCTCCAGGAGTAAAAATCAACTCCGTTAAAAGGTGTGGTTGTCTTAATCTGTGTACTGCTAAGTAAATTCGGTGGTTGAAAGATGATACCCTATTGTGACTGTTGCTGTTGTTGCTGCTGCTGAAATTGCTGTGGCTGTTGCTGCTGTTGTTGTTGCTGAGCAGGTGAACGCCCCAAGATGTTCTAGGCGACTATCGCCTCTGGCGCAGCGAAAAGTATTTAGAAATACTTGTGCAATTAGCCTCAAGGGCCTTGCCTCATAATCTGATCTCAAAGTGGTTGCAAGTTGTCAATACACACAAGCATTCCACTTGTTCCAATGAGATACAAAGCACACAAGAGTATACTGATTTATAGGCAAAGCAGAAAGAACAAACGCGGTTCGTAACTGCCGTGTGTGCTGCGCGTAACTCGCGCGCTTCGTGTCATGCCGAGTCGCACACGCAATCGCGACCTTCTTGCTGAACACGCCGCTGGTCCGAAGTCAGAATGCTTGTTGAACATGCCCCGTCCGAAACCCACATTTTGCCCCACGTCAATCTGTTTCTCGCCACTTCCACTCCTTTCTTCCACTCAACCACCATTCTCCTTTCTTTCCACCAATCTTCTCTCTTTCTTCTCCCCTTTCCGTACACCTCACGCTCACGCAATACCCGCTTCCTAGTTCCTTCTCGTCCCAAGTCCGCATTTCTCTCCTCGTCACCCCAAGTCACAAGTAGTCCATTGTTGGTGGCGGAACCACTCCAACAACCTCCCTTGTGGTTCTGCCAACCACGCACCTCCCATGTGATTCTCTCTTCTACTGCTCCCCAGTAGTCCTCCTCCTCATACCCATCCGTTACTAGCAGCTTCGGCATAAAATCCATCTCGTAGAAACCCCGCTTCAGCTTCCCGTCTGCAACTACTTCCCACGTTGGACCAAATATTGTAACCTTGCCCCGGTCGTTGAGCACCTTACACCCCAATGCATCCATCTGTGACAGACTAATCAGATTCATGGATAGGTCCTTCACCAGCAGTACTCCTTTCAGCTTCAGTTCCCTGAACCTGCTGCGCAGTAGGACGTCTCCTTCTCCTGTAACAGGTAACTTTGTGCTATCTCCCAGTATTATGAATTTCTCACTCGACTCCCTCACATTCTCCAACCAGTCTGACCTGTTCATCATGTGCTGTGTGCAGCCACTGTCCAGGTACCAGCCATGGAGCTTGAACACGTCAGCTTGCAGGTTTGACGCACGCGCCATGTTCGCCCGATGTGCGCCCCCAAGGATAATATCCTCTTTCTCCTCCTTCTCTGCTTCCACAACGTTCGCCTTCGGTGCATTCCGCTGCTGATGTGCTGGACCCCTGTAACTCTTGCTGTTTGGATTGGAATAGCAATCTGCTGCCCTATGTCCGTACCTCCCACAGAAATCGCAGGTGCCTCCAAACCCCTTCCGCTGCTGCCAACCTTCTCTGTCGCTTGCAGCTTCCTTCCCCTTATAGTTCCTGCTCTTAGGGTTGTCGTAGCAGTCTATCGCCTTGTGCCCTTTCTTACCGTAGTGATAACAAGCACTAGTAATCCTCCAAGCCGCTGCTGCATTCACCATCCCCGGCTTCTCCTGCCCGCCATATGCAGCTTCCGTCTTCCCCTTGCTCGCTATCTTCATCGCCTCAATCGACTGCAGCTTGTCCACTAACTGCGTCATGCTCTATGAAGGGTGAAGAACACGGCCGCTCTTCTCTACTGCCCACAGCTCGGGTAGTCCATTCGCTAGATGCTCGATCATTTGCTCCTCGTTCTCAGCATCTCCCATCGCCGCTAGCTCATCGTTGAGGCTGCGCGCCCTGTTGACGTAGTCGATGATCTTCTCTTCCTCTCCCATGCTGAGCAACAACAACTTCTTACGCACAGCAGACTTGTTAGCGTTGCTTGGCCTAAGATACATGCTCTCCAAACATGCCCAGGCCTTCTCCGCAGAATTCACCTCACGCTTAAACGGGTCCAAATTGACGGCAATACTGTCATAAATTGAGTGACACAACTAAAAGAACGCTTGCTTACTCTTCCTCCTGAATTCTGCAATTTTCTCCGCCGGCTCCGTCTCAGTAGGAGGTACTCCCTCCACTGTCTCCTTTTTTGGCGAGTAGTAGGGCCAAAGGTCCACCTCCTCCGCCCTTCGACTGAACTTCAAGCGCCACGTACTGTAGCTGCTTCCATTGAAACGTTGGGCCTCGCTGAGCCCAATCGTCGGTTTCACAACAAACTGCCCCCTCGACAGGGCCTCCAGGAGAGCTCTCATCTGCGGGTCTCCAATGCTCACACTGGATCCCGAACTAACCTCGTCACCCGCCATGACGTAGGCTTAGGCTACTCTCCTTTAACTCCTCTGCTCTACTTAGCGCACTAAGTAGACTCCACGCAGAAAATTTTCGCCAACAATTCGACGCTAGCTCTGATACCAGTTCTAGGCGACTATCGCCTCCGGCGCAGCGAAAAGTATTTAGAAATACTTGTGCAATTAGCCTCAAGGGCCTTGCCTCATAATCTGATCTCAAAGTGGTTGCAAGTTGTCAATACACACAAGCATTCCACTAGTTCCAATGAGATACAAAGCACACAAGAGTACACTGATTTATAGGCAAACAAGAAAGAACAAACGTGGTTCGTAACTGCCGTGTGCGCTGCGCGTAACTCGCGCGCTTCGTGTCATGCCGAGTCGCACACGCAATCGCGACCTTCTTGCTGAACACGCCGCTGGTCCGAAGTCAGAATGCTTGTTGAACACGCCCCGTCCGAAAACCAACTTTTGCCCCACGTCAATCTGTTTCTCGCCACTTCCAATCATTTCTTCCACTCAACCACCATTCTCCTTTCTTTCCACCAATCTTCTCTTCTCTCTTTCTTCTCCCCTTTCCATACACCTCACGCTCATGCAATACCCGCTTCCTAGTTCCTTCTCGTCCCAAGTCCGCATTTCTCTCCTCGTCACCCCAAGTCACAAGTAGTCCATTGTGGGTGGCGGAACCACTCCAACAGATGTAGAAGGGATGCGGCTGCTGCGACTGTGGCTGCTGCGCAAAAGGTGAGAAGGCAAATGAGCCAGAACTTGGAGCTGAAGCTGCACGCATATAACTTGAGCCATCAAGACTCATTCCACTAAACGCTGATGATATTGACTGAGTTGAAAACTGTGGTTGTGCTGTTGCCTGTTGTTGCACTGATGCCAGTTGTGGTGCTGTTGTCTGTGTTCGTGGAGAGGCTGAGAGGCCAGTGGCGGTCGTGGAGACAGGTACTCCAGTAGTTCCGGAACTTGATCCGGTAGATTGTGTTGACGTTGTTCCAGTCATTGTTGACAGTTGTCTTAATTCCAGACAGCTCTCATACCATGTAATAATTTGACAGGTGTTGTAGAAGACTAAGTATAGAATCTGCAAACACGAGCACTTGGAAACCTCAAGTGTTAGCTTAGGATCTTTACTGGAATGGTAGACTAGTAAGACAGCGGAAGTCTTGTAAAATGATGATAGTCATGTTAGGATTAAGGACGGAGTCTAGGTGAACTTAGGAGCTAGAATTACTCAAAATATAAATCCAAAATTCTGGACAGAAAAGTCGTCTTCACAAGAAACGACGTCGACAGAACACTTGCTGTTGGAATGTCGCGAAAATCGGATATGTTGTAGCTTGTAATTGTAGCTACCGTTCTCAGTTTGAATCACGTCGATTGATGGAGTATTCTCGACGCTATGTCTTTCGACGCACTAGGGGGTAAGCTGTAGGAGGAGAACTTAACTCAATCTCAAAAGTTCAATCAGAGTTCAAGAATGTCACAAGGAATTAGAGGAGCAAGTGAAAGGTTGGGATAGAAGAGAGGGATGAGAGGGAATGTCCTAAGAGAGTCCCCAACCAAGGAAACCCCATAAGCACAAAGATTCCCCCCTATAGGAACCCCAACTTTGACATTTGTCCCTTCCCAACCAATCTATCCAAGTTGGCCACCCTTGCCAACCTAGCTTGGTTGTTCCCAACCAATTTGCAGCTGTTACAGTAGAGTGACAAATTTCCCCAACCCCAAAGGTCCCAACTCCGTATAGAGTCACCCCACAACTTCACTTTGTAACCGCCGCAATTGTAACGCAAGCTCATGAACTTTGAATCTTCATAGCTTTCGCGTTCTTGCTCCGATTGAAGCGATTCTTGTTGCGTCGGAAAGATCTTCTCAAGATCTATCATCAAAAATACCTGCTCAGACAGAATAATACAAAACAAATTCCCAAACTCCAGAACACACACCACACAAATTTTTTCACACACAGTCAAACCATATATGCGAATTGAAACAAGGGATGGGAGGCAGACAGAATGTGATAGCATATGATGACATCACACAATAATCTCCCCCTCTGGCTGCCAAACATCATCCACCATACCAATATCTCAAGCATGCATACTCAATGCACACTCATCCCAGCAAGCTTCATGCCCTTTCAATGATCCGCCTCTACCAGACGCTTAGTGAAAATATCTGCTGCTTGCTGATGGGTCTCCAGCCGCACCTCCTTATCAAGGAGTCTCATCACCCAATACCACTTAGGCCTTATGTGTTTTGTCAGCCCATGCAGACAAGCATTCTTGGAGAGCTTCACAGCAGACTCATTGTCACAAAACACAACTGTCGCCTCCTCGTGACCAACTCCCAACTCCTCCAACAAACGCCTCAGCCACACCACTTCCTTGACCCCATGGTGTAAGGCCATGTACTCAATCTCACATGAGGACAATCCCACCTCATTCTGCTTCTTGCTGCGCCAGCTCACAGCACCACCTCCTAGCAAGCACACATAACCCCCAATGCTGGTGCCATCCATTTTCACTGAGTTGAAGCTAGCATCAGTATAGCAACTCAAGAGCATCTCTCCACTCTTCACATATGCAGCACCTCTCTGCAACCGCTGCTTCACTCCACTGTACTCCAATCCCACTAATGCCGTAGCGCTCACATAGCGGACCAACCTCTTGGCCGCTTCCAGCTGCTCATGAATAGGGCGTGAGACCACACTAGCCAACCGTGATGTAGCAAATGCAATGTCAGGCCGTTTCTGATTTGCAGCATAATTCAGCGACCCAACCATCGAATGAAACAGCTTCCTGTCACTCTCACCCACTATCTCCTCATCAGCACATGGCTCTACAGTATACCCCGAAGGTAGTGGTGTTGCTGGCTTTCCCCCATCTTGCAGCCCATACTTCTCAGCGAGCCCCTCACAGTACTTCCTCTGGTGCAACCTCCGCACACCCTTTTCCACATCTCTCTCCACATGCATCCCCAAGTAGTACTTCACCTCACCCATCTTGGAACACTTGAACTGCATCTCCAGCATCTGCTCTGCACTGTCCAGCAAAGCAGTTGATGCAGAAAAGAGAAAGATATCATCCACATACACCAAGAGCATGAGGATTTCATCCTTCTCCTGCAGCAGAAACAGGCCGGGGTCACACTCATTCTTCTTGAAACCCCCAGCCAACAGCGCCTCCTCCAACTTGTGATAACATGCACGAGGCGCCTGCTTAAGGCCACAGATGGCCTTCTTCAGCCTGCAGACCCTGCCGCTCCCATCATCCAGCCCCTCTGGCTGCTTCATGTACACCTCCTCCAGAATGATCCCATTCAGAAAGGCAGTCACAATGTCCATCTGCCGTATCTTCCATCCCAGGAGTGCAGCTATCGCCAACAGCACCCTCAGTGTTGTTCCTTTCCCCACAGAAGCAAACACCTCATCATAGTCCTTCCCCTTTGTCTGCTGAAACCCCCGTGCCACAAGCCTAGACTTGTAGCGGGTCAGCTCCCCTTCAGGTCCATACTTGTGCCTGTAGATCATCTTGGAAGTGATTGCCTTCTTCCCAGGAGGGAAGTCACACATGTCCCATGTCTCGTTCTCAATCAGGGACCCGAACTCCTCATCCTCACTCGCCTTCCACTTCTCCCCATTTGGTCCATTCAAGGCCTCCTCTCGAGTCTTGGGCTCAGGGATTGGTGCCCAGTAGCAGTGAGCGATCTCATCTTCCTCAATCTGCTCAACCACACTCACAGCCTGCACCACATTCGGCTTGCCTCTTCCCCCATAGGTCAGCCTCACCGGAGGGCGCACATCCCTCCTAGGTCGCTCAGGCGGGTGTGGAACTCGAGGTGGAGACTCATGCTGCTGCTGCTGCTGCTGCTCTACTTCAGCTGCTCCCCCTTCCTCAGTCACCCCAGACATCTCCTACTCAGACACTGCAACCTCCACCTGTCTTGAAGGCCGCTGCACCTCATCTGCCTCCACAATGAGCGGTGTAGATGAAAGCTTCTGTTGCTGCTGCTTCCATTCCTTGTAGTACAGGGACTCAAGAAACTTCACATCCCTTGACACTGTCAGCTTCTGGGTGATCAAGTCCCATAGCAGCCACCCCTTGTGATCCTTTGCAATCCCGAAGTGCACACCCCATCTTCCAGAAGCCTCCAACTTCCCCCTTTTCTCCTTGGGCACATGAAACACCACCATGCACCCAAATGCCCTCAACATATTCACAGCTGGAGCACTCCCATACCACTTGACATATGGGATCCACTCTTTATCCCCAACTGTAGCCAGCACCCTGTTCTTCACAAGGGCGACCTGCCTCAGTGCAGACACCCAAAACGGATCAGGCAGCCCTGCACGCCCAAGGAGAGTGCGTGCCCCCTCCTGCAGGGTCCTGTTGAACCTCTCAGCCACGCCATTCTGCTGCGGGTTGTAGGGCACTGTCAGTTGATGTTGGATCCCCTTCCTCTTCAACTCCCCCTCAAAATCAGCTCCAATGAACTCCCCACCAATATCACTGCGGATCACCTTCACCTTGTGTCCGCATTCCCTCTGAGCTCTAGGCATCCATTCCTTAAGGACAGCCACTGCCACCTCCCCCTTGCTCTTCAAAGGGTAAACCCACACTGCCCGAGTGTGGTCATCCACAATTGTCAAGAAATAGCGGCTGCCTGAGAGGGAAGGGGCTCTTGTGGGCCCCACCATATCCATGTGCACAAGTGCAAGTGGGGTCTTGGCTGGTCCTGTAGTGCTGTTGAAGGGGAACTTGGAGAACTTGGTCTCCAAGCATGTAGGGCAGCTTCCAATCTCCTTCACTCCCCCTTTCACCTCCAAGCCCTTCAGGCTCCCATCCTTCACCAACTTCTGCAGCATAGGGAAGTTCACATGACACAGCCTCTCATGCCATGTCTCCCAATTGGCCTCACCACTCCTTGATGAAGCCTTAGCCCATGCCGCACTCGCATCCACACCAGCAAGCACCTCACCATGTGTCAGCTGCTTCTGCACTTTCTTGACTACTTCCAGGACCCCATCAGTTGGTGCAGTTGCATCTCCTCCTGCTGTTGCCTTTGCCGCTGCTGCCGTTGCTGCTGTTGGAGTCATCCCATTCCAAGGGATGATGGGCAGCTGCCATAGGTCCTTGATGCAGCTGGTCTCCTCTTCCAGACTCCACAGCACCTTCTTCCCAAGCTTAGCACGGCAGTTGGTTGGTCCAAAGGTCACTTCGGCCTTACTCTTCTGCAACCGCCGCACAGAGAGAAGGTTAGCAGACATACCTTCAACCAGCAGAACATTCCCAAGCCCCGCAAGTTCCCCATTAGCTTCCTTAACCTTGGCATTCCCAACACCAATCACAGGGAGCAAAGCACCTGACGCTGCTGCCACATACTTAATCTTCCCAAGGGGTTTTACCTCATCAAGCAAATCTGCCCCAGGGGTCATGTGACAGGTGCAACCTGAATCAATCACCCAGTGCGTAAGAGGGTACATCACAACCTTTCCCACAGATCCCACATCACCCTCATGCCCATGCACATCCTCAACCATGAGAAACATCCAAGGATAGGTATTACCTTGTGCACCTTCGCCTTGTGCACCTGAGCCTTGCACAGCGCCACCTTGTGCGCGTTCACCACTTGGCGGCTTCATGCCTGGAGGTGCCCATCCCTCCGGCCTACTGAAGCACTTGAACCAAGGATGCCCGACCTTCTTGCAGTACCAGCAAGTGCCCTCCATTCTGGTACTCCCCCTGCCACTAGAGCTCCCATGCCCCTCATTATAGTCACCTCGGCCTCTACCTCTGCCAAAGCTCCTCCCATGGCCTCGGCCTCTCCAACCCCCTCTTCCTCTGCCGCGCCCTACAGCTTCATACCCCTCAGCAGTCTTAGTGGAAGCACCACCTCCCACATGGCGTCTGCGGAAGTCCTCCTGCAGAATCTGCTGCCTTAGCCACTCAGGTGTCCATTGATCTGGTGAGAGTTGAGGGTGGGGATGAGGTGTCCCAAGAGTTGGCCAACACCGAGATGATCTTGGTGCACTGCTGCAACTGAGATACACTGCTGCCCGCTGCTGCCATCCTTGCATACGTGTCCTTGATCTTGTCAAGGATCGGCTTCACATCGTCCCCTGGTCGCATGGAGATGGCAGCAATTTCCTTCTCGAGCACGATCACCATCGGGAGAGTGTTGGACTGAATCACATCGCGTAGTAGTTTCCACGCCCTTGGACCCGAATCATCTGCTTCCAGAAGATCCTTGATGTGCTCGAACATCTCCTTGTTGATCGATTGAAGGATGAGGTCGAAAAGCACCGCGCTTTTCTCAATCCACCGTTCATGTGCTTCGCCTTCTTCCGGCATCTTCTCCTCCCCAACAGCAATCTTCAGCAGCTTGTAGCGTTTGAAGGCACTCCTCATCCGCCCGCTCCATTCCTCATAGTTGGAGCCATCCAAAGCTTCAACTTTTAATGGCGGCGGCTCACTTGTCTTCTCAGGTACAGCTCCTTTTCCATTAGCATCTCCTCCTCTCTCATTCATCTTCTCCTTGAGAAATTGACAAATTTCAGCTCCCCTTTTCCGTCCACACTGAGCTCCCTCGATATTTTCACAAGTGTCGGCGTCCACGAAATTTCGGCAGAGTTTCCCCTTAGCGGAAGACACATCCAACCTTTAGAACACCACTTAGGCACACCCACAGGCCATGGTGGGCTAGAAGGGTCTTCAAACTTCTGTAGACTCCTCTTAATGTCCTTAATATCGCTCTGATACCACTTGTTAGGATTAAGGACGGAGTCTAGGTGAACTTAGGAGCTAGAATTACTCAAAATATAAATCCAAAATTCTGGACAGAAAAGTCGTCTTCACAAGAAACGATGTCGACACAACACTAGCTGTTGGAATGTCTCGAAACTCGGCTATGTTGTAGCTTGTAATCGTAGCTACCGTTCTCAATTTGAATCACGTCGATTGATGGAGTATTCGCAACGCTATGTCTTTCGACGCACTAGGGGGTAAGCTGTAGGGGGAGAACTTAACTCAATCTCAAAAGTTCAATCAAAGTTCAAGAATCTCACAAGGAATTAGAGGAGCAAGAGAAAGGTTGGGATAGAAGAGAGGGATGAGAGGGAATGTCCTAAGAGAGTCCCCAACCAAGGAAACCCCATAAGCACAAAGATTCCCCCCCTATAGGAACCCCAACTTTGACATTTGTCCCTTCCCAACCAATCTATCCAAGTTGGCTACCCTTGCCAACCTAGCTTGGTTGTTCCCAACCAATTTGCAGCTGTTACAGTAGAGTGACAAATTTCCCCAACCCCAAAGGTCCCAACTCCATATAGAGTCACCCCACAACTTCACTTTGTAACCGCCGCAATTGTAACGCAAGCTCATGAACTTTGAATCTTCATAGCTTTCGTGTTCTTGCTCCGATTGAAGCGATTCTTGTTGCGTCGGAAAGATCTTCTCAAGATCTATCATCACAAATACCTGCTCAGACAGAATAACACAAAACACATTCCCAAACTCCAGAACACACACCACACAATTGTTTTCACACACAGTCAAACCATACATGCGAATTGAAACAAGGGATGGGAGGCAGACAGAATGTGATAGCATATGATGACATCACACAACAAGTCAAGGTTGAATAACCTGAGCACATGAACTTGTGGGTAATCAAAGTTAATTATGGAAAGGCATAACAAGAATTTATAGGTCTAGGAAAGTACCTGTTCGCTAATGTACCTGTTCGTCACTATCGCGCTATGCGCCCTAAATGATAATGAAGAGATGCGACTGTTCGCGTGACTGAAATGACTGTCCTCATGACGAGCGCTATTTGCTGATGTCATCCTACGGACTTATCTTCTACAGTAGGATTCGGCACTATCTTTCGATAAACGACTTACAGAAATGCTAAGTATGAAATATGTCACAACACAAACAAGACAAGAGCAAACCAGGGCGGCACTACTAGTCCGACCACTGGAAGAGAAGCCACAAGGCCAGTCAATAACGTACAGATAAAGAGGAGTACACAATCATGGTCCTAGCAAGTGTGAAGCTACAGTAACCAGACCAGGCTTCAAACAGTGCCGCTGATGATCTTTAGGCGCAAGCGCCTTAGTAATGATATCAGCTGTGTTGGCACAAGAGGCCAAGTGTACTACGCGAGCCTGGCGACGCTGCTGTAGCTCGCGCAGGAGGAAGTACCACAGTTGGATGTGCTTGGCTCTGCCCTCAAGTCGAGGCTCTTGACACAGGAGGATCATGGCACTGTTGTCAGCGTACACAACCGAGGCAGAGCTAGGCCGCTCACGTAAGTCGGTGAGCAAGAAGGTCAGCCAGCGAAGCTCCTGTACCGCCATGGCACCGACGTAGATCTCAGCCTCATAGCTAGACTGGGCAACAAAAGAGGAGCGAGTGGACCTCCACGAGATGGAACTTGAACCAAGGCTACATCAGTAGCCCTCGTAGGACCTGAGTGTCTCGGCGTTGTCTACCCAAGAAGCGTTTGTGTGTCCAGTAGGGACCACAGGTCTGCAACCTCCCAGCACTAGCCCCATGCCTGATGTACTTGCTAGATAATGCAAAACCCTCTTAGCTGCCGACCACTGCTGTGGTCGGTGTTTGCTTGTGGCCACAAAGCGAGGCAGGTTGCTGAGAGGGTATGCGAGATCTGGACGAGTGCAAGTCATCAGGTACATGAGGCAACCAACCAGCTCTGCGTAAGGACCGATCAGCTCTACTAACTCCTCAGGAACTGGAGCAAAGAGTCTGTGGTAAACTTGCAGAGGTGTGTCTCCTAAGCAGCTCGGCCTTCACGGAGGCCAGTGCGTCTCTTTCTGCACTAGCAAAGTCCAGGTCGTCTACGTAGGCAAGGATGTAAAACGGAGTCTAGCCAGCACAAACGAAGAGCGAGGGGTGTGCAGACGACGGAAAGAACTGCAGGTCAGCTAGCGTGTCGTGCCACTCACGGGGCGCCTGTTGCAGGCCGTAGACCAGGCGCTGGAGGAGCCACTGGGTCCCAGGAGGGAAGGTACCGGTGAAGCCGTGTAGTCGGCGTAGGTAGACCTGCTCATATAGACTGCCCTCGAGAAACGCTGTGGAGAAGTCAAGGGAGTGTAACTCATAGTCACGCTGTCCTGCTATGTGTAGCAGCACCCAAAGGGTAGTCATCTTCGAGGTCGAGGCGAAGGTCTGAAAGAAGTCCACACCTTCGCGCTGACTGAAGGCTCTAGCCACGTAGCATGCCTTGAACACAGGCGGCTCTCAAGGAGGGCGCTTCACCTTGAAGAGCCACCGGCCATCGACTACGTTCAGCCCAGGCGGGGGAACTACGTCCATGTAGGTGACGGTGGATCTCCAAGATGCCATCTCCTGCTCCATGGCAGCCATCCACTGAGAGGCCCAGGGTCCCGAGACCGCCTCGGCATAAGTGCGAGGAGTCGGTATGTTAAAGGCGCCTGAGTCACCCTCAGGGACTAGCAGCATGGAACAGAGATGGGGAGCGGCCTCAGACAGGAAAGCAAGCTCGTACTGGCGGTCCTCTAGGACGTCACTGCCAAGGGCAGGAGCACCCCCTACGGACAGAGGACAGACAGGGTCAGAGACCAGAGCGATGGCGTAGTCAAGGAGGCAGGTAGAGGTGAAGTCAGCGACAGCAGTGACAAGGGCGTCAAGACTGGAGTCAGGTACAAACGGGTCAGTAACGAGGGAGATAAGGACCCGAGGAACAAAAGGACGAGTGGCATGAAGGTAGTCAGACAGAGGGGGAGGCGCGAGAACGAGGGATAGCGGAGGAGGCGAAGGAAGGATGGGAGGACGAGCGACATGGGAACGAAGCAACATAGGGTGGGAATGCTGAACAGGAGAGACAGGACGAGCACGAGAGGGACGGCGAGACCAGACGTGAGACGGAGGCGTCTGGTCAGGAGACAGAGGAGGAGACACTTGAGGGGAACGAGGGGAAAGACGAGCCGGAGACGAGTCCGGTGGAGGGAACAGAGGGCCGTAGAATGGAAGAGGAGGGGGCGGGGGAAGCGTAGTCGAGTAGTCAAGGGAGGGAAGGTCGAGCAGGCGAAGGGCGGACACCGTCAGCGACTGCTGCTGCTGCTGCTCGATGCCAACACCTGGATCGCCAGCTGCACCACGGCTATCTCCGGAACACTCCACTCCAGCACCCACAGAACGAGCAACCCCAGAGCAAAAACTCTCTCCTGCACCAGTGCCACCCCCAAGCCCGCCGGGACAAGCCACAACAGGAACCCCAAGACTAGCACCCTCCTCAACGCCAGCACCCCCAGAGTCCACGGACGGCTGCTGCTACTGCAGCGGCGGCGGCAGCGGCTGCTGCTGCATCGGCGACGACGGCTGCGGAAGCGGCGGCGGCGGGGACTGCGGCGTCTGCTGCGATGACGGAGGAGGAGACATCGGGGGAGAGGCAGGCGGCGAGAGCAGCGCCGCAGGGCCACCAGAGTCAGCCGACTCCTCGACCGGGACAACCGACGGGAGGGGAGTAACGTGAGACACACCAGACGGAGCTTGACGGGGAGGGAGGTGGGCACGGGCTACCGGGGGAGTGGGAACCAGAAGCAGGGGAGGGGAAACCGGGAGACCTTGGTGGGGAAAGCGGTGGTAAATGGAGACAGACTCGTCGAAAATGGCGTCACGGGAGTGAAAGAAGTGGTGAGACGGCGTGTGGGAAAAAAGCATGTCAGATGAGTCAAGCTGGAAGTCGAGGAAGACACAGGGGACTGTGCGGGCAATGAGCTTGTCCGTGCCAGAGGCAGGAACGTGAGCGAGGCAGCCCCAGACGTGGAATGCGGACGCGTCACCAGGGAACCCGGTCCAAAGAAGGGTCGGCGAAACCTGCGGCCGTTGGGAGTGCGGCCACAGGTTAAGCTGGCGAGCAGAGTAGCGAATCGCGAACGGCCACAGAAAATGGGATGCACCGGCATGAATCATGGAGGTACGAGCCACCTCCATGATCAAATTGATGCGTCGCACAGCAACCCCATTCTGCTGCGGGGAGTCCGGCAGGGTGTACGACTGGGTGATGCCCTCCGCACAACAAAACTGTCCAAGCCGACCGGAGGCGAACTCGCCACCACGGTCGGAGTGGAGACACAGCACAGGGAGACCACGATGGAGAGGTGCGGCTACAATCCACGGGATAAGAACGTCAGGCACGTTGGCCTTCCGCTCCTGGGGAAACACCATGGTGTAGCGCGTGCAGTCGTCAACGAGCACGTGAAAGTAGCGCTCGCGACACGGCCCAGGGACGGGGGCTGGGCCCTAGACGTCTAGGTGCAGGGTCTGGAGTGGTACGGTGGCAGGGCGAAGCAAGGAGGAGTGAGGAGTACGGCACATCCAGCCCTCAACGCAGAGGGTGCACGGTGGCGCAGGAGAGGGAGGGAGGGCAGGGATTGACGCAGGGAGATCTAGGATGAGACCGTGCTAAGACATGTGACGCAGACGCGGGAGTGCGGGGTGACCTAGGCGGTGGTGCCACTAAAGAAACGGGTGAGGGAGCAACCGACACGAA